CCCCCAGCCACCCCTCCTGCCCCCCGACCAGCCCTGGTTCCACCGCCTGCCCTCCCCGATATCCACCAGACAGCCCTGCTGGCCCCAACCCTGCTTCCCGGCTGCTGGTTTCCCCTCACACACACACACCTCCTCCCAGCCCACCCCGCTCTGCTCCCCTCTGAGGCCCGGTTTTTTTTTCCCGGCCCGGTACCAGGCTGCAGCCCATAGTTTGGGAAACGCTGGGCTACTAGATTATACCCAGACACCTCTGCAGGCTCATCAGTGAATAAACTAGCCCCATAATGACTCTTCCCCCCTCACTTGCATGTGCCTCCCTTTAATGATCATTGGTAATTATGACAACATCAGTGGCTCAGCAAGATGCAGCACTAGTCTATAAATCAGCCTCTGGCTGTCCCTTCGCTCCCCAGCACAGCCAGAGTGATTAATGCTAGTACATTAGCACAGTCAGCCCATTGCTCATCTCCTTGAAAGGGGTGCAGTGAAACTGGCCAAGCTGCCTGGGGCGAGGCAGAGGGTGGCGAGCATGATACAGATATTTCCTTATCCATCCCCCTCGCTCTGCGGGGAAGTGGCCTGGCTGGTTACACAGGCCACAGGGCTGATTTTAAAGGATTGTTGTCGTGCTATTTGGTAGAGCGGGTCGTTTCTGGGCAAGAAGAACCCACCCGGGAATACTTGTGCAGGCAGCATTGAGGGACATGGGCAGAGCTGTGTATGGGGAGCCTAGGACCCAGAAGAGTAGAGCATGCTGCGGTCAGTGTTGAGATGCAGTAAAAAGCAACTCCCCCCGCCCCCCCACCATCCTTCTCCTTCCTATTTCTATCTCTGTAGATCAAGAGCCCCTAGGACAGGGGAAGATATGGATGGAGATGCCCCATGTTTCCCTTATACTTGGCTCAGTTCAGCTTTTTTATTCTGAGATTTCCACAGGCATACTACTGTGGACCCCAAACAATTCATTCATCACTCAAAACTTCTTTACAGAGAGTGAAGGCTTTGTGCCCTTCCAGACCACTGCGTGCACCCCGACATACTCTGAAAACCTGGAAATACAGACTGAAGATTCATGCCAGTCCTGCCCTTAGAATTTTAACTCTGAGTGATGCTATGTGCACCCCTAGCAGACTCCATAGCTCTCTGCCCTTCCTGGGGACATGGAGCAATGAGAAACAACCCAGTCAGTCCCTGTCCTCGCTAAGGCAAAACTCCCATTTAGGGTGGGCTTAGTGATTCCTAGCAGGGCTGTATCCAACCACTTCACCTGCTCCGCACAAAGCATCCCAGAGATGCTAGATGTTCACACCCTTTGACCATTGCCTAAGGATTCCTTCTAAAGCATCACCTGCACTTATCCCTGCCCAGACTGTCCTGTTTTCTATCAGAAGAATTTAAAGAGCAACTAGCAAAAGACACACAAACTAGCAGCAAATATCTTTGTGCGTACAAGCAGGAAACATGCCGAATGGTCAGTGGGGACTCTGCGTGATAAGGTGCTAAAGGAGCATTCAAGGAAGACAAGGACGTTGTAGAGAAGCTAAATGAATTCTTTGCATCTGGCTTCACTGCAGAGGATGTGGGGAGGATTCCCCAACCCGAGCCAGTGACAAATCCTGCGGAACTGTCTTAGATTGAAGTGTCTAAGAGGAGGTTTTAATGTTAATAGGTCTCCCGGAGCAGATGATATTCACCCAAGAGCTCTGAAGAGACTCACACATGAAATTTCAGAATTACTAACTGTGGCATGAAACTTATCGCTCACGTTGGACTCTGTACCAGATGACTGGAGGGTTCCAGAGGCGATCCTGGCAATTGCTGGCTGGTAAATTTAATTTTAGTGCCAGGCAGATTGGTTAAACTATAATCATTAATAAATTAATAGACACATAAATAAATATGATAGTTTGTGGAAGAGTCAACACTGCTTTTGTAAAGGGAAATTATGCCTCACCAAGCTATGGGTATGTCTACACTGCATTCCTCTTTTGAGAGACGAATGCAGATGCAGCCGAGCGAAATTGCAAATGAAGTGCGGATTTGAATTTCCTGCGCTTCATTCGCATAATCGCGTCTGGCCACTTTTTCGAAATACCCTATTTTGAGATAAAAACGCTGTGTAGACACAGTTATTTAGAAAACAAACCCTTTTTTTGAAATAACCCTTACTCCTTATAAAATGAGGTTTAATGGTTATTTTGAAAGAAGGGTTTGTTTTTGAATTAACTGCATCTGGACAACGTTTTTTATCTCGAAATAGGGTATTTCGAAAAAGCGGCCGGATACGATTATGCAAATGAAGAGCGGGAAATTCAAATCATTTGCAATTTCACTCGGCTGCATCTGCATTCCTCTCTCAAAAGAGGAATGCAGTGTAGACATACCCTATTAGAATTCTTTGAGAGTGTCAACAGGCTTATAGACAAGAGTGATTCAGTTGATATAGTATTTTGGACTTTCAGAAAGATTTTGAAAAGGTTCCTTACAAGACGCTTAAGAAAACTAAGCAGGAAGGGATAGGCAGGAAGGGTCTCTTATGGATCAGTAACTGGTTAAAAAAGACACGAAGCAAAAGGTAG